TTTTTTTTTTTAAATGTTTTTATTGATTTCAGAGAGAGGAAGGGAGAGGGAGAGAGAGAGAGAGAGAAACATCAATGATGAGAGTCATTGATTGGCTGCCTCCTGCACGCCCCCTACTGGGGATCGAGCCCGCAACCGGGCATGTGCCCTGACCGGGAATTGAACCAGGATCTCCCGGATCCTAGGTCACTGCTCAACCACTGAGCCATGCCTGGCTGGGCAGAAGAACAGCTTTTAAGAACTGGTAGCTTCCAGTTGATCTAACAAATCATTGTTATAAATTAAATTCATGCTCTTTCTCCAAAACTCTGGTCATAGCTGCACAAATGCCCACTAAGGTGTGTGAGTGGGGGACCTGCCACCATAGAGTATAAAAGGAAGCTGTAGGACCACGTCCTCCTACTGAAAATGCTTCCCCAGGGAGCTGCAGGAGCTATTGCGACGTCTGTGCAGAGCTTGTCCTGTGTGACCTCCAGAAGCAAACCGTGCAGGCTCTGCTCAGGACTGGGAGCAGTGCATGACTTGTCCCTAGTGCTCCTTTGAGGTGGAAGATATTGACATTACCATCATAGTAAACTTAAAAAATGGGTCTACTCATTCATTCTCTACCAAATATACCCACTAAACATGCAATGACATTTCTAAGAGCAAGTAAGAAGCATCATGCAAATGGAAGTTAGAAGTTCCTGGACTTGCTTTACTATAAGGAGTCTATGGGAACGACGACCCGGGCATTTTCCACATGACAGTTGCTTGTACAGTCAAGTGGAGTTAGAACAAATAAGAGCCTGTGCTCAGAACGTGGCTCTTCTCTCAGGCAGAGTGCCACACTCAGGGTTGGTTGTGGCCTGGGCCGTGCGTGGCGTGGAGTTGTAGGAGGCACGGAGGTGAGAAGAGGTACCCCAGCCCTGCACTAAGCTGCTGGGGGGCGGGGGGAGGGTTGGGGTTTCTTTATGATCACCTCTTCATTAAAGTATCATGATTCTGTTAGCTCATAGGGCAGGAAACAGCCACACCTATGCACTCCTGGAACTTGTTGGAATGACAGTGACGTGGGACATCATATTTTTATTTATTTAGTTTTTTTTAATCCTTACCTGAGGATGTTTTATCTACTGCTTTTCAGAGAGAGTGGAAGGGGGAAGGGGGGGGAGAGAAACATGAGAGAGACACATGGACTGGTTGCCTCCTGCACCTGCCCCGGCTGGGGTCAGGAATCGAGCCTGCAACCGAGGAACGTGCGGGACACCGTACTTTAGTGCTCAGTCATCTGGGTCATCCCACACATCATAAGCCCAAGACTCACTTGTGGTAAGAACACTAAACCAGTTGACGCTCTTTAGACTGTTCATGACTTGTTCATCGCTCAGGCCTGACATGCATGACTACAACCTAAGCTGGGCCAAGGTGGGCTCATGCTCAGGCACAGAATCGTTCCAGAGCGTGCATGAGGCCGTGTGGCTAACCAGAATCCTTGGGAGAAAGACAGTACCCTCCACCTCGGGCAGCTAAGCGGGGATGCCACACATCAGGTCCGCCTGCGGCGGTGTCTCCTACCAAGTGAGAAGCCTGGGAGAATGAAGGAGATGCTGGGAGAAGCCGGGGGGAGAATGTCCTGGACGCACAGATCCCAGCCTCAGCCCCTCAATCCCAACTCCTCTTTCCTTCAGATCTTCTTTTGATTCAATAAACCAGCCCATTTTCCTACTACCTAATTCCTGGTTTTATTCAAGCTAGTCATTGTGCAGCAGAGAGAATTCTGCCTAACACCGTTTGCATCAAGGTGGCTTCCCAGCATGGAAGCGAGGGAATTGAGTGTCAGCACTCAGGGAGCCCACTTACATCACCTCCAAAAATGAACTTGCAGCCACGAGCGCCATCTACACTGCGCTCTCTGAGGGGCCTCTCCGGGCCCTGAAGACACCTTCTCAATGAGTGGAGAGAGCGTCAGGCCCCAGGACTCATGCTCTCCTAATGGAAGGGGCCTCAGTCTTGGAGGAGGGACACCAGCAGGCCTGGGGCACCACTAAGCAACACTGCCAGCAGCAGGGAGAGGGCACAGGGTGGAGACTCAAATGAGCCCTGCCACATGACTGTTGAGGGAGCCTTTCTGTCCTGGCGCTGACCTTAAGTTAGCTTCCCATGGGACATGATGTCTTTCCATTGTCCTGACCCAGGAGGCCAGGGTCAGAGACCCAGCTCTGTGACATTTGGAGCCTGTTATAAGGTGAAGCAGCCACATGGTGGGGATATTGACTCCCCAGCACGCCCCCACTCCATACACTAGACAAGAGGTGCTCACTAAGGTGGAAAACAAGGAATTCATGGTGTGGGGGAGGGGCTGCCTTCCGTGTGGACATGTGCATCTGAGCTGCAGTGGGAGCCCCGGTGGCTAGGAGAGCCTAGGGCTCCCTGATGTTAGCCTGTGCATGAGTCCCCTGGCTCTGGTCAGAGTGGATTTGGGTTCCGGAAGCCTGGGCCTGGCAGTCTGTGTTTCTAAGCTCCCAGGGACTGCTCATGCTTTTGGTCCCCGGGCCACACGTCGCGTGGCAAGTATGTAAGCTGTTGGGAAATGTGGACCTGGAGCCCCTGCAGGGGCCGTGTCTTCAGAATATAGGTCACAGCTGAAGCCCTGACTCTGAACAAAATCCCCAGGGAGAGGTGGCCCGGCGGGAGGGAAGGCGCCCAGGCCTGAATGGGCGGAGCCCCTGCTGGCAGATCCAGAAGGGGACAAGGAGCCTGAGGACCAGAAGAGCAAGGGACCGGAGGCTGCGGAGGGGCCCGAGAGCGCGTCTGGGAGTTTCTCTGAGGAGGAAAGCGAGCAGTGTGAGCTCCGCAGAGGTCCAGGAGAGTAGAGGGTGAGCCTCTGCTTATTCTGAATTAATTGTACATCTCACATTTTTAAAACCAGTTTGTTTTGCTGGGGAAACAATTCCCATCGTGCGCGGGGCCAACAGGCTTGAGCGCTGAGCACAGCTGCCCTGCCCAGCGCGTTTTCTTCCCGGAAGTCAGTGTCTTTCGCGGGGGTGCTTTGGAGACTTAATTAGCGGAGGGCGGTGTGAGGGGCAGGGTGGGCTCCTGCTCCTTCCGTTGTCATTGATAAAAGATCACTCGGAGCCGCATTCTAATAAACACAGCTCGATTAGTTCGCGCCGATTTAGGGTCTGATTGTTAAATGTTAATGTACCGCACCCTACAGTTTTAAACAGATTAGAGATGTTTACAGCTTTGGTTAAACGCACCTTGTTCCTCCACATTAACCTTTATGGCTGGTGTCCCCCATCGGCAAACGGGAGAAGGCCGGGCGGCTGGTGTGCGCGGGGCCGCGGCTGCTGCCGGAGGAGCCCGCTTGCCGTCCCCTTTAGCGCGGTGTCCCGCTGCTGGCGGCTGGCAGTGGGGCTTCCCGCGTGAACCTCAGGCTCCACACACACGGGAAT